TTCTCATACATTGCTGGTGGTAATGTAAAATCTTCAGCCATTTTGGAAAATAGTTTGATAGTTTGTTTTGAGAAGTAAATATACATTTATTATACAACCCAGCAAATAGACCCATGGCATTTATCCCAGATAAATGGACATTTATGTTCACACAAAAACCAATGCATGATAAATAGCATAGCAACTTTGTAGAAGCTCAAAACTGGAAATAACCAAAAAGTCCTTCACAGGTAAATATTCTAACAGCATTAAAAAGGAATGAACTATTGATACTACACACAACTTAACATAGATATCAAGAGCATTATAGTGAGTGAAAAAAATTCATGTCTCAAAGTTGTGATTCTGTTTATAACATTTTCAAACTGACAAAATTCCAGGGATGAATGTATGGTGGGGGGAGGGATGCACATGACTATACAGGGGTAGCATGAGGGGAATCTTTGTGGTGGTGGAATAGTTCTGTATGTTGATTATGGTAATGTTTACAGAATCTACATTTGTGATAAATGTCATTGAACTATACATACACATGGTACCAATGTCAATGCCCTCAATATTGCATTACAGCTATGTAAGATGTAAACACTGGGGAAAACCAGATGAAGGGTGCATGAGACTGTCCTGTTTAATCTTAGAAACTTCCTGTGAATCTGTAATCATTTCAAAACAATGTTTTTAGGGATGTTTCACAGAAGCCAACAAAGTCAACACGGAAATTCCACAACTTTGTGGCCCCAGCTAGCTCTATTTCAGGAGAAGATTCTGAGCCACTAGAAAGGATGCCCCAACAAGATCTAGGAAACGCTTCTGTGGTTATTGCTGATTGATTTGGACAGCACCAATCCTTCTGTTAACCACGGTTCGTTCCTAAGCTGAATTCCCTCTAAACAAGTGATGGTATAGAAAGAAGTCTCACTCGGGGATGGATTGGCAGCATGCAGAGCAAAGTCATTTGCCCTGAGAAGGGCGTGTCACTGAGACCATCAGAATGATTTCTGCAACGCCACCAAGCAACAAAGATGAAGCTGATAATGAAGGAGGTTTCCTAGAGGCTTCACCTGTTATACAGAAAGTGGCAGATATAACTTAAAAGAATCTAACAGGATCAGAGGATTGGACCATTAGGTAGTAGTGTTGCAGATCCCTTCATGGAATTCACAATAGACTTCTCTGGAAGATTTTGAAGAAATTGCTTGAACTCAGGGAAATATGGCTTTGGCCTCTAAAGATGGATGCCCTCTAGGCTTCCTTTACTAGAGACCTCTCCAAAGAAGCGAGACCTATTGTCCTAACCATTTCTTTCCTATGTCAATGCGATTTCTTGGTTGGGGACAAGAGAAAGCAATGAGGTATGTGATCTAAGTCTTGGGGACTTCTTTTTAGGACCCGTCCTTGTTGACATGCCTAGATTTTTTATAAAGAATCCAAAGAGTTCCTTGAACTATCCAGCAGAGGGACCCCCAGCCTCATTTGTAAATCCACATTTAGGCAAACTCGCCTCTAACCTGCTGCTCCCTGACCCTCAGAGAACAAAGTGAGCCGAGAAGGGCGGCATCTAACTCTGAGGAAAATGGGGCGCCATCAAATGCTTCAGACCCAGTGAAACATTATGACCTGGGCAAACCATGTAGCGGGTTGCATGAGGGGCAGTACTGAAGGCAGAGGTCACTTCAAAGGCAGCTGCCAAGTCCAGGTGGAAACAATGGCCACAGGGATGGAGAGAAGGAAAAACACGTACTGTACCATATGAGGTGGCACAACTGGCATGACAGGATGGCTGACCAAATGAGGGAGAAGATACCCAGATTTAGGCTCTAGTAACTGGATGCAGGAGTGTCAGGAATGATTTCATGTCCTTTCGAGTTTTATAACAGGAAACTATAGAAGGTGCCATGCATTGTGGTGTGCTGACCTCTCTGCAGGTAAGTTAATCACTTGCAGCCTAGATGCCTAGTAGAGGCCACAGGGTCCCTGGAGCGTGCTCCATCCATTATAGCAGCAATTACTAATACCTGTTTGCTGACAATGATGCATGGCTTTGACAAGCAGCTGACTCTTTTCTCTGTTGTTCTCAGGAGGAATGGATTAGAGTAAAATTTTTGCAAAATCCATATCACTGTATTTAGGTGAATAGGCTGTCACTTAACAGCCTATACAACCAGTGCACTGGATTTGGTACTTTGAGAAGCATTTTTAATTTCACTAGGAGGTCATACAGCTTAATGAAAACTGGCTTTTATTGAGATCATTTTACAGCTTTGATGGGAGTCTACTAGCATCCACTTTTAAATTTATTCAGGCACAGACTTTGCCTGTGCTGCACGGGACATATTGTTTGTGTTTGAGCAAACTGCAAGTCGTTTTCTGAGGAAGACTGTGGTCTTTTCAGCAGAAATCTCTCTAGACCCCTTGACGCTAGTGTGGTTCTGTGGGGGCACGAGTGTACATACCATAGTAATTCTCCATTTTCATAAGCAGCTCTCTTGTGATGAATCTTTGCCTCCACTGCAGATTGTTCTCATTCAGTATATTACCATATGAGGGATTTCTAGGTAAAATAGTATTAATATTTTTAAACTTCTTGGAGATGCTGTTGGTTGAATTTATTTCAGGGCAAGATAGAGAAATTTATACTTTCATTGGTAGTGTATAAAGTGATAGTTTAATAACAACTTTACACTGCATGTTCCATGAGCTTTTATTTTATTCTATGTCAATTTAATGAATAAAATCTGGAATACTGGTCTAATATTTCTGTTTTAAATATCAGTGAGGTGGAACAGTTCTCAGTGTACATGCCATTTGCATTTCTTTCATTTGTTGTCATCTGATACCTTTGGCCCATTTTAAAAATAAAAAGGGTTTTATTTTTTCTCCATTTTTACAATAAAAAGCTTTCAACCACCCATTTCAAATAAATAGGTCTTGACTTTGTTCCCACTGCTTCTTACCCTGTACTTTCATATATTCCCAGACTTTTTTTTCCCCTGCCTTCTGATTTCATAATGCCAGCTGTTCTTAAACTTTCAGGTGAATATTTGGCTAATTCAGTTTTTTTGTAGTTAAAAATTCATTATTATTGTACTTCGTCTGTCATTACAATTCAATCCAATTCAGGTCTGAAGTCCTTGGCATTGCTTAAATGAGGTCATATACTTTCTATTGAATATGAGGTAAGTGTGATGGAGGACTGGTGTATGGGAAGTGAGCCTTCCTGCCACGGAGTAGAGTCACACCTTAACTTTGGCATTAAGATCATATGATGCTACTTCCCAGATTTTGCTCCACAAATAGCAACTTGCTCAAGCACCCCACAAGTAAATGATTTTTTTTAAAGATAGAAAAAATAATAATGAAACAAAAACAAACAAGGAACACTAGACCCCTGTGTCACTTTACTGGCCCAACCAAACCTCTTCTGAGGAGAGTTCTCCCTGGGGGCACTGCTGTTTCCTTCAGTGGGCGTTTGTTGTCAAAATAACTGAAGCGTGATTTTGAACAGAAGCATAGTATACTCCCTGATACAAGGAGTTTACTGAAAACTCCCTCAAAATTTCTAGAAAACCTGACCAGGCCTCTTCACAGTCCTCAGATAACTAGCCAAAGTTTCTCTGTAGCCAGGCAAGTCCTGGGGTGGGGCCAGTTCTCCTAGAAAGCTCAGTCCTGCTTGTGTTGCTCTCCGTCTTATGCGTTCATCCACTATAGAAGCTCAGCTTCCTAAGCGCCAGTGGACAGGACCTGGAGAAGAGTTTTTACCTTGGCTTATGATAGAAGAGAAAAGAAGGAATGCTTGGGCACAGATGCTGGTAAAATTATACGCAAGGGTTATGAAGCAACTAGCAGCCAACCTGGGTATTTGGGGTGTGAAGAGGGCAGCAGAGGGGCTGCAGCGCGCCCCTGCAGGAGCAGCAGGACCGGGATGGGCCATTAGATGGAAGAAGAGTTCCACTACTACGTTCACCTCACATCTGGAACCTCATCTTTGCCTAGAGAAGGGGGGCTGTTTAGGGTTGGGGTTCTTGATACAGGACAGTCGGGGTGGCGGAAGCACTGATGATTCCGGACTACGTGAATAGAGTAGAAACTCCGGGTACGTCCTTTTGTGTACACCAGCCTAGCGTGTGCAGGAATATCTTCCCCCAAAACACTCAGGCCAGTTCTGCCGCCTTTCCTCCCATGCCAAGCCCTGACTATGGTTATCTGGCCACCTGGCATTGCCAGTTGATTTCCCCTGTAGGTTAATATTGACGCCCCCCCCCACCAACCCCAGGAACTTCCCCTAGACTTCATGTTGTTAGTTATCCCCCTCCCTCCCTACCACTACCTGCAATCTGTAGGATCCTTAGTTCATCGAAGCCTGATATTTCCTTTTCTCTGTTATAAGCCTGGATATTTTTCAGGGAGCATGTTCCCTTCCCAGTGTAAGTGTGTTGATGAAACCCAAATCTCCTGAATGGCTGAACACCCATCACTGGCCACATAACCAGCAAGTGCATGCTTGGCTAATTCATCCACATGGCTAACCCACCTGGATACTTGTGGTCCCACAGAAAGATGGTCCTCCTTTCCCATATAACCTTAAAGGTATTTTCTCCTTCAGAATATAACTTTACTTACTTGGCACTGGCATGTACCATTTCATTCATCTGCTGGAGCCTAAGGTATTCACCTACAAAGTGGGAATAATAATGCCTCCTTTGAAGGATTTTTGTGAAGATTAAGTCAGATGAGGTATACAATCTCTTTTTAATTCATTCTCCCTGACTTGGTAAGTTTTAATCTTGATTTACTGGAAATCTTACATTTCACCATCCATCACAACCACTGCATCATTAGGATGACGATAGCACTGTTCTTAAAAAACAGCTTCCTCCCCATGGTTCCTGCTGTCACTCAGAGTAGTATTGATGTTTAGGTCTATTCAGCCAATGCAAATTGGCTCCAATCCTCTAGAGTAAAACTTAGAATAAAGACAAACACTAACATGTTATGCTGAAAGTATATTTATATATATAGATATAGATATTTATTTTTCTGCAGACAGCTTTTACTGATGAGTCATTTTAATGTTCAAAGAACAAACTACATAATTCAATACTACATAATCTGTACCAGAATGAGATGGATAGCTTTTCAATTCAATTCACAAAGCCAGCACAACTCTGATACCAAAACATAACGATTGTAACACAAAACAGAGAATCACAGATCTCACTTAAAAATACAGATGCCAGAATACCAAACAGAACAGTAGCCAATTGAAATCAACACCACATGAAAATGTACAAAGCTTTGGCAGGTACTAAATCAAATTGAAATCCAAACATACACACATAGAACTGGAACATAAACACCAGAAACAAAATGTGCCCCTCTCCCACCCTGTCAGTGGCCTTAGCTGGGGACCCAGAGGAACAAGATATCTGCTAAATCTTATTAGCGGGGAGGGGAACCGCTATCAGGGTCACTGGCTTTATCGCCGGGCCCAGACTCCTCTTCATCCAGATCTTCAGACTCACACTCTGCCAGTGCTTCTAAGTACTGGAATGGCCAGCAACGCGGATCTCTCTTATGGAGCCTGGCCAAAAACCTCAGGACAAGCATCTTGCTGGTTTCAAGGAAGGCTCGGGGGCCCCAGAGGAGCTCATATTCTGCTGGCTCCGTATGGGGGACTCGCCTGTACTCTAGGTACTTCTGCCTTACAAACACATCAGTGATGAGCTTCTTTGTATTTCCAAAGAGAGAATGCGTCTCTCGGACATCCAACCCTAACTTGTACAGAAAATTAAAGATCATATCCTCCCTGACACAGTTGCCTTTCATAAAGATCAGACTGAGAACCACCATCAGGAGGCCTAACTTGGGTGTGTCTAAATAAGATGACACTGATTCACCCTTATGAGGCCCCATCTTGTTGATGATGATATAAGAGTGGTTTTTGGGATCAATTTCCTTCAATTGATAACCAAAGACACACTCCAGCTTATTGTTGGCACGGTTGATGATATCTAAGCACTCATCTTTATATTCACGGATGATAAATCTCACCATCTCTGAGCGCTTGATGGGCACCTTGGCTTGGTCCTTGACTAAGAGGAATTGCACCAGTGCGTTTGCTCTCTCATCCAAGGGAGACAGTGGCTGTGTCTCCAGCCTCGGCCCATCAGGGCTAGTACCAAATCCCTGAGAGAGGCTGGGGAGCTCAGAGATGATCAAGGGCTGGGGGCTACCTGGGTTTTCCCAGAGACCTAGGGCCCGTGAGGTGCTTGGGCCCTCCCAGGCACTCAAGGCCCAAGACGTGCTGGGCCCCTCCCAGCCACTCAGGATCCTGGAGGTACTAGGGCCCTCCCAGCCACTCAGGCCACGGGAGGTGTTTGGGCCCTCCAAATCACCCAGGACCTGGATAGCATTTTGAACCTCCCAGCCATTCAAGTTCATACTTTCCCAGGGCCTGGGGGCCTGCCAGTCACGCAGGGGCAACAGCTGCCCACTGCTGTCCTCCTCAGTATTCAGATGCTTCTTCTTCCGGGTGGCCTTGCCCGAGCGCCGAGGAGGCTCAGCTGAGGTCTTTGAGGCCTCTTGAGTGGTGGCCATTGCCTTGGGCACAGCTGCCGTGGCCATCAGGATGGTGGGCACCGCCTTGGATGCCTTGGAGGCATTCACATTGGGCTGTGGAACCCATGGAACTGCAGGCAGAGCCTCCGCACAGGAAAAGGGGTCCTGCAGAGCAAGTGGCAGTGACTTTGGGGTCTCTGAGGTGGCAGACGGGCCCTTAAAGGCATTGGATGAGGCAGGCTGGAACTGGGAGGTAGCTGGGAAAACCCTGGAGGAGGCAGTGAAGGTCTCAGGCGTGGCAGGCAAGGTTTTCCAGGCAGTTGGCAGGTTTGGTCGGACAGCTGACGCTGCCTTCGGAGCACAGAAAGTGGCTGCAAAGATCATGCGGTCCTTGGAAGGAGCCCTGCGTTCCTTTGAAGAGGTCCTGCGTTCCTTCGAAGAGGTCCTGCGATCTATGGAAGAGGCCCTGGATTCTCCCGATGGAGTCATCAGTGATTTAGCGGAGCCTACGGGAAAATTTGCTGCCGCTATGGGAGCTCCGGGCTGGCCCTGCAAGACTGCAGGGGGGCCTTGCCAGGAGGGCTGGAGTTGCAGGGTGGGCAGCTCTGTTTGCGGGCCCGTGGGCTGCGCCTGCTGGGTTTGCAGCTGGATTTGCAAGGCCTTTTGGGAGGCGGGGACCCCCTGAAAGGGCTGCTCCACCTGAACCAGTGGTGGCCCCTGCCTTTGGGCATCCTGGGTGGGCACAGGCTGCCAGAATTGCCCCGGGACCTTTGGAGCCTGCCAGGCCAGAGCCTGAGCTTGCTGCACTTCCTGGTACTCCATTGATGTCGGCAGCTCGTGTGGCACCGGGGGTTGGCCTTTAGGGGCCTGCCAGATGATAGGTGGGCAGTGCACAGCCTGTGGGGCTGACAGAGGTGCCGAAAGTGCGGCATGGGGTGCCTGCGGGCCAGTGGGAGGCGCCGTGGGCAACTGCGTTGCTGAAGGGGCCGTGACTACCTGTGGCGCCACCCGCATCTGTGGGGCAGCCCGCATCTGTGGGGCTGCCCGCACCTGCGGGGTGGGCAGCCGAGCTTGCGGGGCCTGCCGCAGTGGCGGCGGCGGCGGCAGGGCCTGCCACAGTGGTGGCGGAGTGGCCAGGACCTGTGGGGCAGGCCGGATGGGTGGCGGTGCCTGGCGGATCAGTGGTGGTGCCTGGCGGATCGGGGGTGGTGCCTGGCGCACAGGTGGGGGTCCCGGGCGGATGGGCGGGGGTCCCGGGCGGATGGGCGGGGGGCCCTGGCGCACAGGTGGCGGCGCCTGCCAGGCAATCGTCGGAGCCTGCCAGGTGACCTGTGCGGCCTGCCAGGCAAGGGGTGTGGCCTGCCAGCCTTGAGGCTGAGCCTGCCATCCCGGTGAGGTGGCCTGCCAGCCCGGGGGTGTGGCCAGCTGTGCCGGTGGTGCCTGCGGTCCCTGTGGAACCTGAGGAGGGGCCCTTATGACCTGTGACTGAATTTGCAGGATCAGAGGCTGAGCCTGTGGGGCCCAAGAAGCCAGAGGTTGTGCAGGCGGGGCCGCAGGCTGCGCCATCTGGGCTCCTGTAGCTGCAGGCTGGGTGATTGGAGCTCTCGCACCTGGAGGGTGGATCATCAGGACTCCAGGACCGGGAGGCTTGGCCATCTGGGCTCCAGGAGGTGGAGGCTGGGCCATCAGGGCTCCTGGGGGCGGAGGCTGGGCCATCGGGGCTCCTGGAGCAGGAGGTTGTACCATCAGGACTCCCGGAGTCAGCGGCTGGGCCATCAGGACTCCCGGAGTTGGAGGCTGAGCCATCGGTGTCCCCGGTGGGGGAGGGTGGGCCATCGGTGTCCCCGGAGGTGGGGGGTGGGCCATCGGTGTCCCCGGCGGGGGAGGATGCGCCATCGGGGTTCCCGGAGGTGGAGGATGCGCCATCGGGGTTCCCGGAGGGGGAGGATGCGCCATCGGGGTTCCCGGCGGGGGAGGGTGGGCCATGGGCGCTCCGGGAGCCGAAGGATGCATCATCAGGACTCCCGGAGTCGGTGGCTGGGCTATCGTGGCTCCCGGAGGGGGAGGGTGGATCATCAGCACTCCGGGGGTCGGGGGCTTGCCCATCGGGCCTCCCAGCGGGGGAGCCTGGACCATCGGGCCCCCTAGGGCTGGGGGCTGGGCCATCGGTTGGGCTATCGGAGCCACAGGGGCAGGCGGCTGGCCCTGTGGAGCCTCCCAGGCAGGCTGAGGTGCCTGCCAAGCGGCCAGTGAAGCCTGCAAATCAATTGGAGGTGGATCCCAAGGGACTGGCGGAGCCCTGGAGGAGGCGGGCGGAGCCCGCATCAGAACCGTAGGGCGGCTGTAGACCGGAGGCTTAGGGGCCTCCGCCGGGGGACTCGAATCACCCAAATTCTTACTTAGCTGCGACATGTCCTTTGCTCTGACAGCTGCTGGGCCTTTTCCTCCGACAGCTGCTGGGCCTTTTCCTCCAGAGAGAAGAGAATGCCTACGTGGCTGCTGAGAGGAATCCTCCCTGCTGGTTGGGTATAGGAAGTAAGTCCCCTCTGCTCTGCAGCTTTCCGCAGTAAGGAGGAGGGGGAAGGGGGCTCAATCCCGCCCCTTCCCCGCCCCCGACCACCACAAGTGGATAGAGCATAGGGGCGTCTACCAGAAATCCTGGCTGACATAAGATCCCTTCTCGCTCTGTCCAGTCCCCAAATGCAGCCTGGTCAAACTATCCATACATGAGTTTTTACAGGGGAGTGACAGGAACAGATCTGTGTTTTAGAAATCTCTGTAGTGAATGCAATATAGAATGGGAACAGACCACTACGAACATGGACGGTATCCACGAAGGGGGAGATGGTGTGGTCTGCGCTCTCCGCTGTGAGAGGATGAGAGAGTGCGAGTATGTATGTGGGATATTGAGGAGTCTTAGTAAGCAGCTATTATAATTTAATGTAAAATACATTAAAAAGTCATATAAGTCTTGTCCTGGGAAAACGGAAAATTGCTGGTGTAATTGATTCTCTTAGAGACATAACAGGAGGCATATAGGAAGAGATATTGATAAGTATTGATTAGGACATGGGCATTTACAGTGCTCAGGACTGCCAAGGAGAAAGAATCTGTCAATACCCTTGTATCGGGATTCAAAAGAAAACTAAGCTGGGTGTAACTCCTCAGGAAAAGAGACCTATGGGAATGAACGTGGTTGCAAAAAAAGTGTGATTAGAGTGAAACTACTAAGATGTATCTTAAAGAATACAGGCATTTCTAGACAGAGGTAGAGAAAAGGGATGGCGAAGAGGAGAAGAGAGGAAAGAAATCCTGTAAATTAAGATGTTCCAGACATTGGGAGAAGGTAGCATTTTCAGTCCAGGGAAATTTTCCTGGAGGTGTGATTAGCATGAAAGCACAGAGTGGGTTTCTTAGCGCTGTTCATCCATTGCAGAGAAGGAAAGAAATTGTAAACATGAAAACCAAAAAATGCAATAGAAAATAATAAAATGGGTGAATGAATGAATGAATGAATACAATGAATAGATAATATATAAGAAAAACAGGTGAAGAATAAAACACAACGTTTGGGGGAAATGTATTTATGGACCAAAACAGTTTAAAAATTAGCCAGATGATGTATTAACAGGTACGGAAAAATACATCAGAATTATTGGGTAGCAGTACACTAAATCATGCTGAAAAGAAATGACAGTCTCAGTTCTAGTTGGTTTGTTTTCTGGAAATACACAAAATACTAAAAACCACGGATGTTTAGTTCAGAAGAGACTGCAGTTTGGGGCTAGTCCGGAATGAACGAGAGCACGAAAGACACCACAAGGGGGCAGAAGAGAGCGATGAAGTCTATACCCCACTCCTCCCAAGTAGCCTTCGCCAGTATTCCTCAAATTTGGTAATTAATGAGCCCAAATGAAAGCATATACACACTCCTAAGGTTATTACTGCCTTAAATAATAAGAGTAATTTTGGAGTGAGGTTTCAGTGTTTTTGGCAATTGAACGGGTGAGAAAGCAGAGCTATTATCCCCCAAGAACATTACCTTTTCAAGGTATGCCTGATGACATGTCACTCCTATACATACCCGGAAAGCTGCCTCTGCAGAATGGATGCTACCATATTTTGTGGCTTTCAGGTCCCTCTCATGGGTTAATTGTCAGTCCTTATAAGATTTTTCAGTTTGATAAGGGTTTGGAACCAATTCATAGGGGCCAACTCTAGACAAATAAGTCCCTGGCTCCCCTGTCACCAATTCTGCCTTGTGACAGTTACTGGCTATGGATGGCTTTGAGAAAGTCGGTTTATTTTTCAGCCTATGCCATTTTTATGATCACTAAAGCATACTTTTTCTTCCTTTCATTCAAATGCATGAATTACTCAGAATGTAAGTTCTTTCACTCGCCATTCCATTTAGGGATTACGGAAGACAACCTTCAGTCCAGCATGCTGCCGGTCTTCCCATACAATAAATGGCTACCACTCGGGTCCAGTTGTTCTCACTGACATTGCAGCTCAGTGACTAGCACTGCCACATAGGGTCAACTCCTACCAAATCCATTGCGTGGAAGGAGGCCCAGCTTATGTTCACAGGTGATACAGAAGCCAAAAAGAAGTATTAGGAATTATGGAGGGGGATAAAAGCATGTAGGTGTCATCTGTAGCTCTTTGATAACGGTCTTGAATTAGTGCAGAAAAATTGAGGCATAAGTCTCTAGTGATTCTGGCAGGGCCAGTAATGGTGGATGAGTCACATTTGTTTTTCCCTGAAAAATACATTTGTCTACTTTAGACAATCAGTGCTCTTGGACCCAGGCAACTTGATGACCTAACTCCTCAGCCCTTTGTGAAGCTTGACTGGTTTAATAACAGCAAAACCCAATACTATCCTGTGTGGGGAATTTGGACCACATATTTAAAGAGGTGCTCCCAAATCTCCCTTCTCCTTGTGGAAACTTCTAGTTTCCTAAAGTCCCCAACACCCTCCTGTGTGCATGACTTCCATCTACATACATCTGAACCAAGTGTCAACATTTCCTTTCCTTGCTTCTCCATGAAACACCTTAAAAATAAAAAGTAGAGAAAAAAGCAAATACATACAAAACATCCATGGAATGTCAATGTCTTTCTTCTAATAAGAAAGAACTTTCGGTATTTTCACAAGTATGTAACAAAAGGGCAGCAGAAGTAATTGAAAAAAATTATGGAAGGAGAAATAATGATCAACACACAGGAATAGGAAAACCATTGACTTAGGTGTATGAAATTTTAGTCTATTTCTTTATTTTCTGGCTCACCATAAGGACAGCACCTCCATGCAGACTGGAGACTTGTTTTGTTTGTTCTTGTAGACCCAGCTCATCCTGAGCCATCAGCAAGGAGCTATTGAATGAAAGTGTAAGATCACCACCAGAAGTGCCTATCTTTCAGTCTTTTATAGCTGTTAGACTTGGTGTAAATATTGATGAATGAAATAATCATGTATGACTTTCACAATGTCTAAAATCATTTAGTGATGAAATGCCTTCAGTTAAAGATTTAGTATGTGTCCATCACTGTGCTGTGTGCAGGGCCACAGATAAAAATGTGACACTGGCATTACAGAAAAAGGGGTTCTTTTGTAGTGTTTTTAGTGCAATAAAGTATTATTCTTT